GTTGCTTCTGTTTGGGACCCCAACCTGCGAGTCGAGAGGAAACCATCATGACGTACTTTAAGCTGAGAGTTCTATCATCGAGAAGCAAATCTACACTAACTGGAGTCTGTTGGACGCAATGCCCATGGTGTCCTTGTTGACGAATTTAAAAAGGGAATATCAGCAGGCATCCTTGTCCCACCGACAGCGGCGACAGCTTGCCATGAAACACTGCCCGAGCTACGTGTGTAAAGCGCTCTGACGATGTCTGCGTATTTCCTGGACACATCGATCCACTGAATCGAAGTCAACTTTGGTGTCGAGGAACACGATTACGTTGGTTTGGCAATATAAGTGGTGGTGCTCCACTAACTGACGTATGATGAAGATGTGACCAAGGTTGCCTCGCTTTCGGCGAAACCCGATTTCATATTCGCGGATCCGGCTTCCATGGGTGCTAGTCAATCTATGCAGAAATACAGAGGGAACCAACTTAGAGGCAATTGAGATCAAACGGATACCTCTGTGATTGACACGTTTCAGACTTGAGCTATCTTTGAAAACCCCTTTGGAGTTCCCCTGCTATTTTATGAGACTGTCGGAACAGTTCCATCGGTTGGGTCAATCTGCTCCAACAGTTTCATAATAAAACTCTATATCTGTAACAGCTGGTCCCCAGCGTATGGGGAGAATTAGATGAAGTGTAACTGGTCGTGCGACCTTACTCAATTTTGGCAATCTCACTTTTGACTTTTGTATACGAGGGCGAATCCAAAGCAACTTCTCACGAAACAGGGCAGTCAATGACTAACAAGCAAGCTGGTTATTCTGGCTGCTGTAATTGCTTTTCAAAATTTTCAATGTAACCGGTCCTCGGACGTAGCTGTAACACATTAGAAGGTAAGAAGTCGATAAGTGTTTCTCTCTTTGCCATTGTTTCTTCCTATTACCGTTTTTCTCTCCGGTACTATTTAACCCGCCCTCTTTCATGCTTCATTCACTGTCCTCTTGCTCGACTTCTTACAAGGTGGATGTGATGTGGTCATCCAACTGTCTACGGCAGTGTTGCACCAGTCCGTTACAAATAGATATAAGGAAGAACTGTTTATAAAATTGTTGATGTGAAAACACATTTGACTGATATTTGAAATGTGGGCAGCAGCTTAACGCATTCCTTTTTCTTCGACTTACTGAGAACACTATTTTCGTTTTAATGATCGATCTCTGAGATTTTGTATTTAGGGGCTAAATTTCTGGTTTCTGCTGTAATTTATAGATGCTGGCTGTGGGAGCGTAGCATAAATGTCTACTAAGTGGTTTGTAGCCACATACTACCACAGTTTTCACTTTGACAGCCGTTTATCCACCAAAAATTCCCGCTTTTAACATTTTTTGTCCATAGCAACGGAGCACTTATTTGCGTAACATGCCAAATTGTTTTTTCTTGGTTAACTGCATACTGAACTATTTTAAAGGTAGCAAATCAGTAACGTGACATTTTATATTTGTTTATTGCTGGAAATGGGATATCAAACCTTTACGTTAAGGGAATTCCTCTTTCCTCATCTATTATTTGAATTTTCGCGCCACAGACTGGTGGAACGCTACCGCTGTCTACGAGGTATTTATTTTATGTTGCAGCTCCGAGGGTCTTTCAAGACCAGCTGTACTAGTGCGATATATAAGAACTTGGAACACCGGACCGGAGGAGTATTTCATTAAACATGACATTCCAAGCGTTTTGACAGGTCGTCGGCCGGACGGATCAGGCGTCTGCCTTGCAGCTCGAAGGTCCACAGGTCTAAATCTCCTTAGGTGCGGACGAACTCACAGTATCCGCAGTCTGCGCGCAAAGCGTCCATGCGGCGCACCGGTGTACTGCCGATGCCTACCCTTTGATAGGTTATAGGTAGACCGTCTTCCCTCATCTCATATTGGTTCGTTAACCCCAGTTCTCTTGCCGCGCGCCTCTAGTTTGAGGCGGGATAATTTCAGTCTGTTACCAGAAACAGCGCCTACTTCCATCTCTCATGCACGATGGGACTACCAAGTTTCGCTGCCTTTATTCATGCTAGCAGTCACTGTGGCCCTGAGATCTTTACTATTCTCTTGTTCGTTCTCTTCCTCAACGTCTTTGGGTGGAAACAACGCATACTGCTCAGACTGGCATGCTGATTTTCAACTCAAAGATACGTGCGACAAGTGACATTCATCTCTCTTCTTTGAGCGCTTACTTATCCGATGCGGGCGTGCTTCTTCACGCATTTAGAACATCCAGCTTCGCCAGTCGTCTGATGTGTATGCACTGACACTGTCTGCAGGCGTCCGTGGAAACGCACCCACAAATCATCGTATGCAAATGCTTTATCGGAATTCACGATTGTGCTCCAACTGAAACGACAACTTTGATCGCTAACTCTCTGGTGGTAGCTGAACGCAGTATGCTCAGTTTGCGTCCATTGCTGCTCTGTGGCTTGCGGGCGCTCTCATTCTCCGGCAAGTGCTGTGTTGGAAGCTGGCTTTTGCGAGGAATAAACGCGCATCTTCACACAGCTATAGCAACCGTCCACCGTTATCACCACCAGTCCCTACGCTGTTCTTGTTGCCCGGATGCGTCTCATAAGTGGATGAGTTTATGGTTTGAATGTTCTGAGCATTAGTCTGCACCACAGCATCTGTGCTTCCTCTCTGGCGACGGAGCTCCTTCAATTGGTGATAGCTGCCATACCTACTCAGCGCCACAAAGTGTGGAGGCTTAAGCAGCGATGACAAATAGGCACCTATTGACTCCACGTGACTTCGAAGTTTTGAACGATCCAGCAATTCTGACCGCGCACGTTTGGCTGCTGATTGGGGCCTAGTTGATCCGAACGACTTCAACGCTGGAACTCTGAATAATATACGCATTGGCTTGACGAGAATTTGAATCTTCCTTGTCTCCGGTTGACGCAATGAGAGAGTGTCACCACTGTCACGTGAAGGTGATCTTAGAGCTAATGTGGAACTGGGGTCTTGCCGACGGATTTCCGATTAGCAACCGATTTCGATCTTTCTGTAACATAGAGCGTACGTTAAAGCATGACAGCGTAAGCGGGGATCATGAGACCATTACAGAAGCGGGTGAACGGAGATTTCCCACTTGATTAGACATGTGTTGGGCAGCGGGGCCGTGTCAAAGCAACTTGATCCATCACCTTGTTTCCGCATATCAGTTGCTAACCGAGCCATTTGGCATTAAGTAACTTGTCATTCCGGGTGAGCGTTCAATGGTTAACTTTTCTCGCTTTTCAATGCCCTCATTTGTGATAGAATACATGGATTTTCGCGGATGGCAGCCGTCCTGAATAATATCCACCCCACTTTATCTTACTGAAGTTTACGGTTGCTCCAGCTCTAGCTTTGCAGCACATTTGCTCTGCTATTTGTTTCAGACCGGTCGCAAATGAGCTTCAGAGTTTCAAAGTAATTAACAGGCATTTTTCATCGTTTGTGTGATGCACACGTGGTCACAATCAACTGCGGCTATTTTTCCTCTTGTTATCCAGACGCTTTCCTTGTTTATGAGGGTAGTGTGAAACTCGTGAGAAGCAGATGTTCTCTCACACTGTTAGATAAAACCGATGTTGCGCACCTCGAAAGCCAATCGGACTGAGGCGTTAATACTCAATATTTTGTTTCCATTTCACTATCCGTTGCTCACCCCAGCATATACTGTGGTAGATGCCCGACCGTCCTTATGCTACCGCGCATTGGCCCCATATAGCGTCCGACTTATTGCGTCTGCTTTAGTGCTACTGATCCGACTCGTTCTGCACGTCCTTCGTCTTCCGGAGAGCCACATGTGGTTTATTTTTTTCATTTGGATTACTTTTCTGTCTTCCGGGAAACTATGCACCTGTATTGTGTGCTTTAAGGGCGATGAACTTGAGATTTAGTTGAGTATGAAAATCATTAGTGAAACCGAAAAGGTTTTACGTTTCGTAGACGATGTTACACCCACTTGACGCCCGGGCATTTGTGTCTTTATGGCGCAAATACATTTGCCCCAGACAACTTCAGCTTCCATGCTCTTCACTGATTCTTTATTTTTGTCTACCTTCAAATAGACTTTCAATGGTTTATCTTTGCGGGTACAATTTTATTGGTGCAGGATGTTGGTATTTTGCTATTCACATGTTTGTTGCCAAGTTTACCTCAGTGTGCGTTTTGTATGTTTTAAATCCTCAGTGTAGTGCTACCACTTCTGAGGATATGGACCATAGTCTGTTTCACATAATACCGATTCCATCCTGCTGACCAGTTATCACGTCTTGCAGCTGTTACGACCTGGTATAGCTCAGCACGGATCCGAGTCATGTCTGGGAACTATTCTACTTTCGTCTACATTCACGTCTGTTGGATCGGTCGTTTCTCTTCCACTGGGCATTTATACCGATTTTAATGATCTAATACAATCACCTGCCCCTCATCTCCGGATAGTAGCCATCCCATTCCCATTTGGCAGCTACTTAACTGCCCACCACATGTTGTAGCCTATAACAATCTGCCTTCAATCTCGCTTATGTTCACCATCGCGAAACATAAAACGCTAGCACACTTGTGCACTCTTGCTTACTTGGCATTTGCGATGTTAACCTTGACGCTTGTCCTCTCACACACTGGTTATATGAGATTTAACTGTGACCGTACGCATCCGGTATTTCCTTCACTCTTTTTGTGTGAGCTTTGTTTTTGGATGTATGTATGTATTTAACAATTGGCCATTAAACAACTGGCGGAGTGTCACAACACATGAGTACAAACAAAAAGGAGAAAAAGAAACTGTCAGCGAACAGAATGATAGGGTTTATGTGTTGCTTGGGTACTGAGTTTCTCGGTTTCCCAGGCCGAGGAAGTTTATTGTTGTTGGAAAATCTAACGTCCCTCTTACACTGTTAAACTTCGCTCTGCGACTGCCACTAACATGCCTCATGCATTTCCCAATACTGGCGTTCATCTTTGTATTGTTTTCTCTCTTCAAGATTATCCCTGCCACACGTTCTCGTTGTTTACCTATTCGGATTGCTGCCCCAACCGTGGATGAAATTGTCACAATTCTGCAGACAACAGCCCGCCACGAAGGCCAGAACATGCCTACCGAGCTAGCTACGCGCATAGCCACAGCGTCAGAGCGCAATTTGCGTCGAGCCCTACTCCTCGCTGAGGTCGCCAAATGGCAACACACTCCACTGTTACCAGACCAATCGATACAGCTTCCTGATTGGCAGGTTTTTCTAACCGAAACTGCTTCCATTATTCTTTCGGAACAAAGTCCAAGAAAGTGAGCGATTTTGTAATACTGCATTTTGACTTACCCGCATTATGTCCGTTTCAGCCATCAATTCGAAGAATTCTTTTGTCTCAACCACGCTGATGCGTCCCCTCTCAATAAATCTTCCGTCAGTTCACATTTTCCCGCTGACTTTGCACTTTGGACTCATTGCAAAACCTAACCACTAGTCTTGACGCTTAGTTTGTCTTTATCAGCATCAGGCCATGACTGGTCGTCTGCGTTTCAGTACACCAAATCGCTACTTCAAATGAACACAAGCTTACTATTCGAGTTTTGGTCTGTTCTCCGGCCTTTGCACCAAGTGGTTCGATTAAAGGAGAATTTAAGGTGGACATATATTTGTCTATTTATTCACATCCTTAACTGAAGCTGCAGTAGGTAGTTGGCAACTGCCGCATGCGCATTGGCGCTTTTTCCGATGAACAGCCTATTTTGCCTAGTGATTAAACCTTGAACATTGAATTCCCATACAGGGAGATGACCATCCGTAAACGACGCAATTTGTTTTACTCTGGTATGTGATAACAGTCAATGGTTGTCTCACTCTCTGCTTCACTACGTCTTGTTTCACTGTAAGCGCGTCTGTGCGCTCCTGTCAGTATTCATCTGCATCCCCACAAAAAACTGACACTATGAGTCTGGACCCAACCGCCACACCCGGATCGTGTGTATAGCACAGTCGTCAATCCTGATTGCAAGTCGCATGGGATCTGCAGACTTTACGTTCCCTGGAAATTTTAAGTCAACATACTTGACTTGCCAAGTCTCATATATCGTGTAATTAGGTTGACTTGCCTTGTGTCCATCTCAGGCCCAGCGTATATTTTACGATCACGGCTCCCATCACAAAAATTTGCAAAACGAACACTTTCTTGGTTCTTTGTTTCCGTCACTAGTTTTGGGTCCCTCTTGCATTAGCCACTACTGCTGCTGGTGTGCGCGAGTTTTCAGCCTGAGGTCCACACATGCAGCCCTTCACGCGAGTCGTGACATTGGTGCATAACACGCAGCCGGAACCGTTGGCGCATTTGCATTTGTTTTCGCTTGACTACTTGTTTAAACGTAGCCATTGCTGAATTGAATATAGTGGTTAATCATAGCTGTCAGGGATCTGCCTCGCCGTAACTCGTTCACACGAGGACTAGCGCCGTTATCGTGAATTGTCAGCAAACTCATTCAGATCATTGGATTTTCCTCCACTCATTACCAGTATATTCACTCATAATGTACCCTCGTTTTATACTGGAACATCCTTGCGAAACACTGGTCCACTACCATTAGTGAATTTGTCCGGTGGCTTTGTTTGATTTTTTAGTTCGGATCTAGTGCTTAATTTATGGCTGGTATGTATGTATGTAATCTCAACAGCATCGCAAATAGACATAGAGCCAACAAAGCCATGGAGATTAGCAGATAAGGGGAAGTCACTGCGTCATAATCATCGTGGAATGGCAGTTGAAGGTGAGTAACACACTTCAGCTAACATGCCGCAGGAAGAATGGAACCGTTTGGCGAAAAGTAGAACAAAACGTTTTTGGTTTGTTTTTCACACGCCGATTTTTCTCCTTTTTGTCATTTTCAATGTTTGTAGTATTAAACATGTGAATCAGTACAATACTGTACACAATTCCTCCACTGATTCCGGTTGCGGGCCATATCTTCAAGAGTGCTAAGCCATTGGCACTCCTCATCTTTGGGTACCCATCCTGGAAGGCGTACGGATCCAACAGCGGCTAGACACGACGTCAGCGATTTAATGTGCTGCCACCAAGTGGAAGGCTGACCACCACGCGGTCGGTTCCAACCAGGTCCTTGACGAGCGAATAGAGCGCGACGCGGTAGACGCTCAGGTGCCACGCGTAGGACGTGACCGAGCCATCTTAACTGGCGCAACAAAACCAGTTTGTTGAGGGGAATACTCGCATTCCCCAAGATGCGACGTCGAACGTCATTACTATTAACTCGATGTTGCCACCAAACACGAGTGATCCTCTTTAAGCAACCGTTATCGAACGCAGAAAGACGATGCATGTCTTTGTTGTGACGCTGTGCTCGCTCTCGCCTGGTTGATTCACGCCTGTTGCTAAATCTGCGACCTTACGCGTGCTCTGATTGACGCCTTGGCAAACACGAAGACAGAACACTCAGCAGACCAGAGTTGTATTAAGGCAAAGAACGCTCATAGTTATATGTCACTGTCACCAGGCGGATTTGGCTCTAAGCCCACGCTCCACGCCTACTTGTCCGCTGCATCTGTCCAATTCACCGTGTTGCTCGGGAACTCCAGTCTTCGTTCGCCTACCCGGCGCATGGCAACGCTCGTGATGTCTGACGCGTGATTTCATCAGCTTCCGGTCTGGCCTTGGCATGACGCCTAGTGTCTGATCAGATTTCGGCTGGGCCCTGGTAACACGCTCGTAGAGTCCTTCCCAAGCACGCTTGGTGATGAAATCCGTGAGCATTGGCTATCAGCTTTCTCGTCCAACTGTCACCTCCCCTTCCGAATTGAGTCAGCCTGCACACCCTTCGAACCTGAGTGTGTTCGTAGCTTTTCGCCCGGGGATCGATTTGCAGCCGTTGTGGCCTTCTCCGCTTCCGAGTCGGCCTGCCTGGTGCATCTGATTTCTGCGGCATTTGTTTCGTCTCACCTGATTGCTGACCTTCAGCTTCCAACCCGAACGTGTCTAGTAGGATGTCCCAATGCAAAGCTGGTGGTTCCTGGCGACCTTGGGTTTTGCCATGATTCGGTCTCAGCTGATTGATGTGCCTAATCCATCTCTCACGTCCAACCATCACCACGTAGATAACTCTGCCTTTCCTGCCGATAACCGTTCCGCTCGACCACCCCTTTGGCCTTCGAAAATCCTAGGCGTAAACCATGTCACCAACCTTGAAGTTACGGAGCTTGATCTTGCAATCTTCCTCCTGGTGACTGTTGCCGTACTTTTCTATTTTGCTTGGCAAAAGGTTATCAAACAACGTCCGGATCTTTCTTCCAAATAGTACTTCTGTGGGGGCTTTCCCATCAGTGGAGTTTGGATTCGGAGCGTTCCGATACATGCATAGAAAAGATTGAGTTGCATCCTGTGAAGCCCTTTTTGCCCTGCTTTGCAGAGTGCACGTTTGAACGTATCCACGAACCTTTCCGCCTGTCCGTTTGATTGCGGATGATATGGTGGTGAGAGCATCTGCTGAATTCCCTTTTCCTTGCACCACTCGCGAAAAGAATTCGAGGTAAATTGTGTTCCATTGTCTGTCACTAATACCTCTGGCAGGCCGAAATATCGGAACAGCTTCTCCAGCTCGTTGATAGTGTGCAGTGCAATCGGGTTGTTTACCGGAATCACATCAGGCCACTTGGTGAATGAGTCAACCAAAACGAGATAGGATTGGTCATTGATTGGTCCTGCATAGTCTAAGTGTATTCGTTGCCACGGTTTCTCTGCCTTGGGCCAAGGTTGCCACTGACACTTGGGAGGAGCCTTCGCTGCAAGTTGACAACATTCACACTTTTGGCAGCATTTTTCAATTTCCGAATCCATTTCTGGCCAGTAAAGAAAGCTGCGTGCCAAGGCTTTCATGCGGCTGGTACCAGGGTGCCCCGTGAGGAACTGCTGCAATATTTGCCTCTGCAATTTCCTTGGCACCACCACTCGATCTCCAAACATCAGACACTTGTCCACGACTGACAGGGATCCACGTCGATGGTAAAACGGCCGCAACTCCATAGGTAGGCCACCATTTGGCCAACATGTTCGTACACACTGCATCGTTTTCTCTAAGATTCTCTCCCGTGATGTCTCCATACGAATAGTGTCGGCTGTTACTGGTAGTCTTCTCACATTATCAGCCAAGGTTCGTTGAACTTCTGCTTCGAAACTGATAGCTGCAATCACACAATCATCATTCTCCTTTGGGTATGAACTGATGAGACGAGACAGGGCATCCGCTTGACCGATTAGTTGCGTCGGTTTATACTGTATACTGAAGTCGTAGGCCAGTAGTATGGTCGCCCATCGTTGCAATCGGTTTGCCGTAAAAACTGGAATATCGACAGAAGAGGCTTGTGGTCAGTCAGGAGCGTGAAATGTCTGCCATACAGCATCTTATGGAACCGTTCCATTGCGAAAACAATCGCGAGCGCTTCCTTCTCTATCTGGCTATAGTTCTTTTCAGCTGGCGTTAGTGATCGTGCTACGTGCGCGATAGCCTTCTCTCCTCCATGCGGAAAAACTTGGGAAATAACTGCACCGACACCATAATTGGAAGCATCCGTGGCAACGACATTTTTGAAATTCGGATTGAAATGCGTCAAGATCAGAGGTAAGAGCTGCTCTAACTGCATCAAAGGACTGCTTGCACTCCTTCGTCCATTTCCAACGCTTGTCTTTTGTCAGTAGATGGTTCAGCGGACCTCTGGTTTGGTGAAGGCTTGGTAGGAAAGCGCTGTAATGGCTAACGAGCCCAAGAAACGAGCGGAGCTCTGCAATGTCTTCTGGTGGCTTCATCTTTTTGATGGCTTCAATATTGGCGGGATCCGAACGCCGGCCATGTTTGTGGATGATGAACCCAAGGAATTTGACACTTTCTAATAGAAACTCACATTTTTCAGCCCGTAGTCGGAATCCAGCTTCCTGAAGACGCGAAAGCACTCTCTCCAGTGTCTGTATCAAGTCTTGCGGATCTGAGCCCATAATAAACGCATCGTCCAGATATACTGCTGTATTTGGGATATCGCTCAGCAGGGTATCCATTATTTGTTGAAAAATGGCTGGTGCGGTTTTCACTCCGAACGGCAGCCGGTTGTACTGAAAAAGTCCGAGGTGGGTATTTACTGTCAGCAATGTTCTGCACTGATGGGCAACTGGGATTTGCAAATACGCATCAGCTAGGTCAAGTTTTGCGAAACATTTCCCCCCCTTGCGTTTGCTGAACAAGTCTTCTGGTACCGACAGAATTCAAACCTGTCGAGAAATCAGCACAAATAC